TATATATATATATATATAAAGAAAGAAAAAGATCCAAGACTAGTACGAGACAAAGGCACCAACGCATTCCCAACCACAGTGTTGTTCTTCGCAGAGTGAATGGGGCGCAATAAGACACATTGGTTCTATCGTCTTTATTCTTTTCCCTTGTATTGGGCGTGCCTAGCTCACCATAAAGGAATGAAACAGCAACTGAGCAGCCGTCAGACGAGCTCTTGCGTCTTTCCTAAGGCATTGGTCAATGAAGTCTGCGGCATGAGCATCCATCATATTGTATGGCACCTTGGGGGTAAGCACACCGCGACTTAGTTTTCCAATAAAAGATCCAACATCCAGCATCTCCCCCTCCGGCCACGGATATCGCCCGGAGAAGCAGAAACAAAGCGTAATGCCGAGTCCCCATATGTCGTTTTTCGGGTCCACAATACCAGAACAGGCATCTGGAGACATGCAGACAGGTGTTCCGAAACAATTTTTCAACATCACAGTGCCCACCGTCTTTCCAACTTCTTCTGCGGGCAGTAAAACAGTCCTCCCGTCAGACCAGATATTGGGTTCTGCAGATGCTGTCTCGGAGCCCGGCTCTGTAATCTGCATTGCACACTCCACTGCTCCACCAAAGTCACTCAATTTACAAACTCCATCAATACTAACAAGAACGTTATTGGGAGAAATGTCTCGATGCACGATTTGACGCTCGTGCAGGTACTGTAATCCACGAAGTATATCCCCTGTATAGCGCCTTATTGTATCGCGCGGGAGACATTGGAACGTTTTTACAAGCGCCGAAAGTGAACCACCAGAAACAAACTCCGTAATGATATATAACGCGCCATTCTGAAAACAACTGTTGATATAACGAACAATGTTTTCATGGTGAAAGCCTGCTAGCATTTCGATTTCAGAGCGTGAGCTTTGAATCCGTGGGTCGTTTTCGTCCATATCAGGGAATGGGTATTCCTTTATGGCGACAATGTTTCCGTCCGGGTGAAGGCCACGATAAACAATACCAAAAGAGCCTTTTCCTAAAGGCTCGTAAATATCAAACTCGGCTCTACCTTCGTTGTTTTCGCCATACTCTCTGCTACAGACACTGCTCTCGTTCATGTAATTACTCTGATGAAAGCTTGTATCCCCGTCAAAATCTGCTTCAGAAAAAACGCTAGACATTGCTGCCACACGCTGGCTGTATCGAACACTAATTTCGTTTCCCTCGCCACATTCAAAGAAAGAAGGCTGCACAGATCCCGTTCCTGGCACTCCAGACTCCATATCATGCAGGTGGTGACTACTCTGTGTGAGATTGGACGGTTGATATGGAATACTTGCTGTGGTAAGGGGCGAAGCGTCAGATGCACCAAACCCAGATGCATCCAGCACACTGCGACGAACCGGGGTGAGAGCGAGGCGTGCCTCATCTGTTGCTTCACTTTTCATATCAAATGTTTCGCGCCGTTCGACGTAGCCTTGAGTGTGCGACGATCCACTGTTATTATGGCTAAAGGTGTGACCAGCATCGGCCTCACACTGGGACTGGCACTCTTGCAAATACTTCCGTGCTTCCGACTCCAATGGCTCCCATTGCAGCCCACTACGCACGTACATGGTGTTGTACGGTAAAACCACATCGATCTTTCCGTCTCGCTGTTGCTGCAAAAAGTATTTACAGAGGGAGTACAGCCGAGGTGCGTTATGGTCTAAATCCAGAATCCCCTCGAGTTTCTTTGCGGCCTCAGTAAATTTCTTTTCGCACATTAACCCAAAGGCATCAGTCAAAGGTGCGTAGTGTTCACGTTTGGTGTAGAGATTTTCTTCCTCCGCAAGAGCCTTGGGTTCATACAAATAAATTCTGACCTTTCCGTCAGACGTCTCTTTGTAAATCACATCAACAGGCACGGCTGTCACACAGACACGGAAAACGTCATAGCACGGCTGAAGCATCAATAATGGGCAATCCAAAATTGAACATAACTCGGCTACGCGGTGGGCGAGTTTGACCTCTTCACCATAAAGCCAGGCAATTTGTCGGGATGCCGTGCTGCTCAGGCCAATCACAAGTTGGCTCATATGCATGGCGATGCCCCAGGTAAAAGACGTAGAGGAGTTATGCGACCAACTTGACTCCAACTTCGTCAATTCCGACACCATTCGAAAGGCACAGTTACGAGGCTGAACTAAATTAACAGAGTTAGGGCCTGATCGTGTATGAAATGTCACAATGACACAGTCCAGCCGTAGGTCGAACGGGACACCACATTCTTCCTTTGCCACACGCAAAACAACGGCCAAAAATTGTTTTGATATTTCCTGCGCCTGCACGGCACTCTTTTCCGTGAAGGAGCCGTTAGCATGCACTTCCAACTTTGGCAGAAACAGGCGACAAACCAGAAAGGTAACTTGCTGAACCCAAAAGCCAAAATCATTGAGTGCTGTGCCCTTTGCTTCCACATCCTCCAAACCCGTATTTTCATTCTTGGTACCATTGCATGCCATCCCTGTACGACAGGTTTCGGTGATCAATGCGGTACTAGAATTCATAGAGGCGTTTAAACCATTAGATGACATAAGCCTTGTACCACTCAGATAGCGCCTGCGTACGGGAGATCTCATTGTGTCGGTGTCTTCCGGTCCCAGAAGTTCCTCTTCAATGGAGTTTGAGCTACCCGCGACTTGGTATATATTTGTGTGAATGGCTACCATACCTCGTCGTGCGATGCTTGGGGAAATATTATCCACCAACAAGGGATTTGTGGAGTTTGAAGCACTCACAAGGAGATCTTCTTGGGGCGAGGGATGGCCAGAGTGGGTTTCACGCAGTCGCCGTGAATGTTGTGAGACACAATCGCTGTGCCTCTCACCATTGAGCTGAGACATCGTGACATCACAGTTTTGACAGTTTAAGACACTGGTCAAAACGCCCTGGCGCTCTGTATGGGGGATGTACCATTTCAGTTCATGCAAGGTTTTCCCTAACAGAACAACATTTTCCACCACTCCTGTAATAACAGATTTCTCCCTCTTTTCCCTCCAAAAGAGCGGTGATATTCTTCGTTTTGGAGCTATGGCCTCCTGTTTTGGCGTAAGCGCCCTTATTCTCGACAGAGTAGGTGCCACGTCACAGATGAATGCAAGCGTCTGCAGATATGAAGAATACATGTAGTGCCAGGGGAACACCCACAGAAGTATTGCCCCTCCGACTACTACTATGATAAAGGCTATCAAGATTCCCATCATACAGTTAAAAGCTTCTCGAGACAAAGATCCGATACAGCGCTTCTGCAGACTGCCAGCAGCAGAGCCACAGCTGGTTGCACCGGGAGAGACGGCACCAGTTTCTGCACTAGACAATGCAGATATCAGTCGTGTAGTGGCCCAGTAGTACAATCCGAAAATCAAGGCGATCAAGGCAAACGGAAACACAACTTCTGATGCAAGCATTGTGCAGATTATCGGACGCAATGGGAGTGCATGCACTGCCGGTTTTGGGCGATGCGACATGTAATGCAACACTGTGTAGGACATCGTACGGGCATCCAAGTCATCATGCACGGAAACATTTTCAACTTGGTTCTCACCGGTGAGCGAATTAGCAAGGCGGTGTCCTGAGAGGCGAGATATTAGACCATGTCGCAGATCGCAAGCCAACGGAGTCCCTTGCATCTCGCCGAGGCGTGGGCTTCGCTGAGCAAGATCCATACGGACACGGCTAGGCGAGAAAGTAGATTCCAACAGCGATTGCGCAGCTGTTGTGGAGGGTAACGACGGCGGCTGACCCCCATCAAACCCTGAATAATGCGAATTCACAGTAGCGTGAAACTGTCGCTCCGGGGATGAATCATCATTGAAGTTCGAGTTTATGGGGGATGCTGTCGCGAGATCTCTAGCGGCAATGCTCTGATGGAATCGTGCCATAACCTCACGCGGAAGAGCTTCCTGTTTGGCTAGCGTTTCATGTTTCTCCTCGTTGAACACCAGAGTGTGTCGCTTCCCAAATAGTCGCACCTGCTCACCCTCATTTGGAGCACTTTTCGCCTCCACTTCCACCGTAGCCGTGAGCGGCAGCAACACATCAACTGGCATGAGCGGCGCGTTTTGCGGCTTATCATTCATGTTGTCCTTATCTGTGAGATCAGTAGTGGCAAGCGGTTTTGGCACATTATTTGTTGACCTGTTATTGCATCTGATACTCTGGTCTGTCGTTTCCACATTTCCACCCTTCACATCGCTATCCGAAGTCTGCAAGTGCGAAGCCAGCCCATGCTCTGACTGTCCCGGTGCGCTGTGAGGGCGCTGCGGCTCCTCGTCATTTCCCCCCATTCTATTAACAACTCACCTACGTTTCTACTGAGAGTGGCTCTCCGCAGGTGAGGAGCAAGGCAAAAGAGAAAATAGGGCCGAGGCCGATCACCCCCTTTCCCTTTCTTTCAGGGCCTTCGTCTTCTGGAGTCCAGAGGAAACACAAGAGAAAGAGGACACAAGATAAGACAAAAGCAAAGAAACACGCCTGTGCCCACATCCAGCATCACACCAGCAACGCTATGCCACATACATGAACTTCCAGCAGCCGATGTGGTGCCTGCCCAAGGGACATAAAAAACGAAAAAAAAAAAAAAACAGAGAGGGATCGGTGGTAGTAACACGTATTCCACCCTCCGCGCCTTCCCTCCCATATGTCCGACGCGGGAGTGACAACGCATCAGAAGAAAAAAAAAAACATTGTCCAACGCATGCGCACAAAACCACCAATGAGACCACGTTTTTTTTTGTTTGTTTCGTGAACCGAAAGCTCATATTTCCTGACGGCGGAACCACTCCCATACCATCATCCTCATTCACTTCCCTCGCTCCATTGCCACACCGCCCTAGATGTACGCTTGTATTGCACCTATGTGCACGCTGCTGCGAGACGCGTGTGAGAATGATCGCTTCATTTGCTCTGCAACGTGTTTCTTCGTGGCATCGTTTCTTGTTAAGCTGTATCCTTTTGCACACCTTGTTCTGGCGACTCTTCGTCCTCCGCGCCTTCTACTACTACTACTGCGGCTTTCTTCGACGCCACTGCTTGCTCAGCATCGGCCTCTTGCTTTGCCGCGTCGGACTCCATCATCTGCTCGATGAGCCACGCCTCCTCCTCGGCGCCCATACCGTCGTCGTCGTTGACGAAGAGGCGCCCGTCTTCTGGTAGCGTGCCGTTCTCATCCTGTGTAGGATCCCACAGGTACTCCTCCAGCTGCCGCAGCTGATCCTCCGTCATACCACTGAATGTGGCCAGGGCGCTAGACGCCACCGCCGCCGTTGTGGCCAAGCTGGCATGTGATGGGAGCTGAGTGTAGGTGTCGGAGTTACAGTAGAACTCCTCCAGCCCCTTCTCCATGATCTCGCTTTGCACCGAAGCGGGTACGGGCTCGGGGCCACCACTCCCAAGCTGCTGCTGGGACTCCGTTGTAACCGCTTGTGAACGCAAATATGAGGGTATGAAAGGAGCGGCATTGCTCGACAGAGTGGAACGCTGCGCGACGCGAGAAGCCAGCTCCTCCGCCACACGATCAGCACGACTCTCCGCGTTCATGAAGCTCGGTACTGACAACTGGCCCTAAGTGATTTTCACCGAAACTCTTGACACGAAACGAAATAAACCCCCTTCCACCCCCCACCACAGGAGAAAAAAAAAAACCAGAAAAAAAAAGGGAAGATTAGAAATGGGAGCTCTGCAGAACATGCCCACAGAGACATGGATAGAGAGAGAGAGAGAGAGAGAGAGAGAACGAATAAACACCACTTTCTCTCACATGTTCCTGAAAACAAGAAAGATTGGCGGTAGTAGTGTGTAAAGCAACAGCAAAAAAAAAAAACAACCAGCAACAAGGAAGCGCCAAAAAGGAACATCTTCGGATATTGCAGACACTCTGAGAACCATGATCCGGCAGCACGCGGTTCACCCAAAGCATGTGCCTATGTGTATGCATGTCTTATAGTGGCCTCATACTAAAAGTACTCTTCCTCACTATCCCCGTGCTTCACATCGTAGTACCCACGACCTGTATTGAGCAACCAGAAGAGTAGGTACACGAGAATGCTCGCAGGCACTGTGAAACATGTCGTGTAAGAGTTCAGCATTTCAAACGGCGACAGACCGAATAAATTCACAAAAAATGCTAGGACACTACACAGTATGAATATAACAACAGCCTTTATAACTGTTGCAAAAAATTGCACCGCAAGTAGGCGGAGTGTGGACGGATTGTCAGAACCCACAAATGTCTTGCGACACTCTCCTGGGACAGGGGAAAACTCAAACAACCTTAACCATACAGACAGCCGTGGCCACCGCGAAGCGTGACATCCGACGCCAATGTACATTGCCTCCAGCACCGCGACCACAACCATATACATCGCGGCATCCGCTTTACTCGGCCATGCAACAAAGGTCAAAAGCTGCGAGCACACCATCGCCAAACGCAGCAGCGAAGAGAAATGTGAGTAGTCTTTGCAATACATTTCGCTTCGCTGCTGCGTTGCCACAGACTCCGTACTGAGCAGACCCCCATTAGACTCCGTGGAGGTGTAGCCACAACTGTTTGTAAAAGGGCACCATGCATTGGCGGTACCATCCGCTCCTCTACCCGAGACGCTATCCTCCTCACGTGCATACACCTCCGCGTAGCTGCTCTCCGGCCCATCCACCACCCACTCCACGCCACTCGCACCAAGCAGCTCGTACCATGCTTCCCCGTTCCGGTACATATTCAAGGGTCTCTTGCGTAGTACAATGAAGGAGAGGTACTCCGCCGCATAAACCGTGCGCATTGGGTAGAAGGCACTTAGAATTGCACTGATGGCGTCACCATGTGTTATAAACAATAAGTGCCTGCATGGGTAGAGGCGACAGTTGCGGTGCAAGTTCTCAACGTATCGTTGCGATGCTAATTCAATAGACTCTCCCCATTGCGGTAGTTCACCACAGCCACTCTTTACGATTTCATCGGACAGCGACGGTGGAGCGCCGCACTTTATCCTCGAAGGGCCATAAACTTCACATAGCGTGTTGTCAATAACATGCGGCGTGGCGACGCCGATGCCACATTTTTGTAGTTCTTGTGCGGTCTGCAGCGTTCGCAGAAACGGGGACACAAAGAGGAGCAACTTTTTTGCGCGGTTCTCCCCCACCATGATACGGAGCCTCTCGGCAGCTTCCTCTACTTGCGCCACCCCGTTCTCCGTCAACGGCGGATCTGCCTCCGGCTGTGCATCGACGCCCCCATCACGACGCTCCCCGTGGCGCATAACAATGACGATTTGCTCTGAGCGTGACTTGTTCAGGGAACTGCGCTGTATCACAGTAGTTTCCATCTCTACTCGCCACTTATTTTGCTGCTGAGCACGGTATATGTATAAGCCCAATTTCAACTTGTTTTGTCACGTTGATATTCCTCCCTCAAGAAACAAAGGGACGATGACGCCAGGCTGCGAAGAGCGAAGCTGCTCGTTGACCTGAACGGTTTTTCTTTTTTCTTTTTTTTTTAAAACCTGTACGAATAAGCAGTCCAAGACAGAATATAAACAAAGAGGAAGGAGAGCGAAGGAGAAACAAAAGAAAAAAGCAAGACAGAGGTGATCCATGGAACAGCGCCCGCAACTCGCTCAAGAATAAACACGTACATCATTTCATTACAAATGAAAAAGAGAATAGACACCACAGAGCGGCCTTTTTGCACAGGAAGGTATGGGTGAGCAATGCGTGGAAGAAGCCACACACAAGCAGGGGCCTGCATCAAGAGATTACTCTTGCTTAAGGTTTTTCCGATTCACCTCGCTCTCCTTGCTCCGTCTATGCCTTAGAAATGATTAGTGTCTGCTTTGCTCGCGCTTTCTGCGAGACAGAGCTTCTTTCTTCATTATGAGTTGGGGTGGTTTTTTTTTTGTTGAGGAAAAAAGGTGATGCTGAGTACACTTCCTTGTTTCATTTCATCCCTGTCCCGCTTTCTTTCCTTATAAACCTCACCAACTATCGTATTCCACTCTGAATTCCTGCCGCTTCCCCGCTCACATTGGCGGCGACGACGGCGGCGGAAGCTGTGACGCAATGTGCATGGCCTGCACCGCTGCGACGGAGTATGGCGGTGGCGCCGTGTACGGCGGCGGCGCGGCGCCCACCTTCGGGCTGCGGTGCACGGGGCCAGCGGCTACGGGGCGTAGCAGGCTAACGGGCGCGACGGCGACGGCGGGGGATGCCGGTGGTGGTGGCGCGAGACACTCATCCGTNGGCGCGACGGCGACGGCGGGGTATGCCGGTGGTGGTGGCGCGAGACACTCATCCATGTACGCGACCGGTACCGCCGACGGGTAAAATTCAGGCGAATTGGCATTGACCTGAAACGCGGATGAGGGAATGAATTCACGTGCGTTGGCGTTCATGGTGGATGCCACCAGCGGCGGGCTGCTGAACGGCTGTGCTGGCATGGTCGAATGCGGCGGCATCGACGTCGATGAACGGCTCTCCTCCGCCTCGGCAACAGCGGCAGCACCAACAAGTTTTGGTGTGCTGCTCACCAAGACGGGTGTATCCCACTTCTTGTCATCGCCGTCGCGCTTGCTACGTCGCTGCTCTCTGCCCGGAGGCGCGGTCACCTCAAATCCGCCACCAGCACCTGCCTCACGCTTCTCCTGCAGCGGCGGGCTCGAAGACGCTGTACACTCCCCCACTTCTGGCGTTTGTATGGGTGGCTCCGACACCGAGGCGGAATGACTTCCCACGACACGCCCACGGCGGCTCTCATCAACATACGGTGGTGATACCTGCACTCGTAGAGTCTTTCCTTTTGTACTTCTGCCATCCAACGAAAGCGCCTTTTTGGCCGCATCGGATGTGGCAAACGTCACAAATACACGTCGCCGTCGTGCAGGTGAGTTGTCCTCCACAAGTGAGGAGTCTGTGATAGTGAGGCCATCAAAGAATGCGAGTGTCTCTTCCAGTGATGCCGATTCATAAAGATTTGAAACCACTACGCAATTGCGCCACTTGGGAAAGCGTTCCCAAAATTTCTCAATCTCACCCCAATGCTGATCGCGCAGTTTCTTTAGAGCAGAGTCCTCCACAGAAGGAACTGCCACGAGTGGCGCAAAGGGGCGGAGCACAAACGGAAGCAGCTCACCTTCATCATCAGAGTCTTCATCTTCATACTTTTCAAATAGATCACATGCGTCCTGGATCGACGGCATTACTACTACTCCACCTGCGTGTTTGTCGTTCTCGTCGTCAAAACGCAAATCAAAGGTATTCCATCCACTAAACTCTTCAAACTCCCGTAGTGCTTCCTCCGTGCTGTATCCCTTGTGAAACCGAATCTCTACAAGATGGCTGTGGGTGGCAGTACATAGTCCGTAGTCCAGTGTCAAGTAAAAGCCCGTGCCGTGTACATCTGCAAGTGAGGCATCTGTGTGGTACTCACTGTAGTCGATGAAGGACGCAAGAAAATCATGCGCTGATTCCCCATAGCGCTCTGGTGCCGTAGCAGGCTTGACTCCCAGGCATTCCAGTATTTCCTCCACATGCAGCGCCCCGGGTAGGTAGTCGACATAGCGCAGAGGCGGCATCATTGCGGTACCGGAGAGGAGTGAATGATCATCGTAGTGCTTACACTCGAGCCCAAACCGTTCCGCGCAGAATCCCAGAAGTTTTTGGAACGTGTCCACAAGAGCAGGAAAGCGAATCGTGCACGATCGCCGATTGCCTACCTCCGTTACGCACAGCACGACATCGTACTCTACACCAAGTAGGAAGCGAAGTGATGCGGGAACGCTGAGGGCTTTTAGCTCCAAAGAGTGCAGTCCCTCTCCCTTCCCCATTGTTGTTGTTTTTGTTTCACCCAGGGAGGAC